CATCGACGATGTATCTTTGTTTTAAACGCACCGCCCGGATGCTTTTACCTCTTTTACCCTTTTGCTTGTTCATACTGTTTCGCTTTGATACAGAATTTATCGGATATAATAGTCTTTTTTACACGCTGAACGGAATACCATTTTTGAGAAGTGAATAGAATTTTTTGCATTGCCGTGAATGATGTATTTCTTTATTGTTATATCCGCTGTTTTTTAAACAATATGTTCAGGAGTATCGAGTTTGAAATCAATTGATTTATATCTTTTATTTAGAAGTAATTCATAGGAATTTTGTTCGTTTTTTAACTTTTTATTCGCTGCTGGTAATAGTAGAATCACTAAATTCATCGGTAATAGTAGGTAACAGCATTGGTGACAGTTCGTGAAGAAGATCCCTATAATGGAAAACACAGCCACAGACGAGGCATATGAATAGACCAAACATCCAATTAATCATTGTTAATAGACACCACAGATCAGGTGTATGATCGTCTGTATATCTCGTTTGTAGATTAAATATCCAATGTCACCTCATCTGTACATAAGCGTACAAAGCGTTAAAGAAACTAGTGATTTTTTTTCTTAGTCGATATTTCAGACTTTGAGACACGAAATCTCATTTTATGTCAGATTTATCCTATCCTTAGTCAATGTTCAATGCTCAAATAATTGACTACTGATGACATTGAATATATTTTTCGATTTTAATTCCTATTACCAGTAGCGCTGTAGTGCAAAACCTTCTTAAATCGATATTCTAAGGTGTGATATGAAAATGGGAAGGAGGCTCTGGAGCCCCCTGAGAATGTGACATGAAAATGTACTGAATGTCCATTCGGTACCTCATCTGTGCACAAAATTCCATTTAATGTTATATCACAGACGAGGTATATAAATAGACCGAGCACCCAATGTATTTTTTTCTGCCACGATTTCGAGGTACCCGATGCCCCGTTACCATTTCCGTGTCACATCCTGTCGTACCGGTTCAGAAAATTTTGCACGAAAATCAAAAAATAAGGGCAGTGCTGTCAGATTTGTTTCGTTATTCATTAAATTGAACGTAGTGGTATTTCAATGAAGGAACATAACGATTTAAAACAGAGATTGATGAAAATTAGGATGAAGAATTTGGTATATATTTAACATTTATTTAAAAGTATTACAAAAAATTGATTGACATATGATATTTTTATGAACAATATAATTAGATATGACGTTTAATTTACAAATTTGTAAATTTACAACTTGAATGAATTATCTTTATCCGGTAAACTCTATTT